ACACATACAGTATTCCACGCTTAACTGACCCTCGATTAGTTTGTTTCCCAGCATAATTGGTTAAAAATATGTGCCATTGAAAAAATGTATCCCTTCAATTACCTACTATGAAAATGAACAAACGAAGCGAATACAAAAATCTTACACATAACATATGAAAAATTTCAGTGGAATTGTTAGCGAATGTGCAACAACAATGCTAGTAAATGCCATCGAAAAAGGCAGTGGCGTAAAGATTTTAAAACTTTGTTAAAATACATACATACGTACATATGTATATAAAATATAAATTAAAAAAGAAAAAAAACATGAAAATTTAATTTCGTAATGGTAATCAAGGGAAAAAATAATAAATGAAAGTGATGAAAATGAAAAAAAAAAATAAATAAAATGAAATCTACAGCAGAAAAAGAGAAAAGAGAAGCACAAACCGAATTAAAACATTAAACGCTGAAGCAACGTTGAATAACCAAATCAAAGAAATCGTCAGCAATGAGTTGGTTAGCAGCAGTGANAGTTAAAAATATGTGCCATTGAAATAATGTATCCCTTCAATTACCTACTATGAAAATGAACAAACGAAGCGAATACAAAAATCTTACACATAACATATGAAAAATTCAGTGGAATTGTTAGCGAATCAGCAACAACAATGCTAGTAAATGCCATCGAAAAAGGCAGTGGCGTAGAGATTTTAAAACTTTGTTAAAATACATACATACGTACATATGTATATAAAATATAAATTAAAAAAGAAAAAAAAAATGAAAATTTAATTTCGTAATGGTAATCAAGGGAAAAAATAATAAATGAAAGTGATGAAAATGAAAAAAAAAAATAAATAAAATGAAATCTACAGCAGAAAAAGAGAAAAGAGAAGCACAAACCGAATTAAAACATTAAACGCTGAAGCAACGTTGAATAACCAAATCAAAGAAATCGTCAGCAATGAGTTGGTTAGCAGCAGTGACGTTTCAAATATGTACACATGTTTTATTTAATGGTGGGTTATATGGCACATTTGCCGAGGCAAATATATTCGGCAAACAGTCAGTTCAAAGTCAGCTGTCAAAGTCAAATTTTTTTATGTCAAAAGTCATGCTCGTTTATTTAACTACGTGCAAAACGTGCATAATAAAATAGTTTTTATGTACATAAGTATGAAGAAATAAATTTCCAAAATTTTGATTGTGTAAAAAAACGGCACGATTTTTATTGATTCCATCGGCAATTTGTGTTCAACGACTTGTGCCCGTTTTCTGATACCCTTGAAAACCAAATGACCTTGAGAAGATATTAAATCGCTAAAATGTACCTTACTTTGCTTAAACCGACTTATGTACATAGATCTGAAACGCTCCTTGCGAAATGGCGAGAAAACTATAAAAATAAGAAGAAAAAAAATAGTATGGACCTCTTTCAACAAAGCAGTAACCATCTATCCTAGAATAACTCTAAAGCATATCGATTCTTATTCCATTGCATTTTTATTTTATTTTTTTTTAACATTTCTTTCTTTATGTTTTCGTTTCCGATGAGCAATTTGAAAAATTTGTTACACTGTGCCAATGACGATAGCGAAAACAGTCGATAACAGAACGGCGCGAAATCCACGAGGTGAGAGACGTTACAACGAAGCGACGTGCGGTATGGTGAAATGAGCATTCGCAACGAGCACCTACACAAAATTAATGAGAAGAGTACCGTCGAGAAGATACGACCAGAACTGACGACATTATTCAAGCATAAAGATAATAAAGCAGCAAATTATAGTTAAACACTCGCGGTTAAGCATTACGAGTATGCAAATCAAGATATACAAAACTTGAGCAGACTTTATCGAATCACTTTTTCGAAAACATTAGCCGAAAGCGATGAATACGATGATTTCGGCACAAATCGACCGTTTTGAACGTTATATATACGCGTACACTATATATTATGACAAATCGAGCAAATATAACAGCAGGCATGCCGTTGATTTTGCCTGCTGCCACCACTGACACTAAAAAATATTTCAGTACCGCAGCGTATAGAGTGGCTTTTGTGGGCAAACAAGCAAGTGAGTGAGCAAGGCAGCGAGAGCGAGCGCTCGAGCGTGCGATGGATGGGCGAACGAACGACGGAGCGATGCAAAGTACAAACGCGCGGACCCCGAACAAACAGCAAAGCGACAGCGCAACTTATAAAGGGTGTGGAGCGGTATTGGGGCGCTGCTAATTGACTATCGGCTCGCGATGCGCTGCGACTGGGACGGGTGGGGGGGAGTGGTGTAATTGCTTGCTGAGACGTTGGAAGTTCTGGGTTTGATGCAATACGAATTGAATGCTACAAATGCTCACAATCGGTGTGCTTAATGCGTCCGTTCAAATTGTTGTTGGCTAATATTATTTGTTGTTCCTTTTTCATGCATACATATGTACGTTTGAGCAAGCGCATAGAGAATTGGAATTAATTTCGCCTACCGCACTTTACCTATCGTCTCAACGACTCGAACGATAACAGAACTAAAGCCAAAGTTTTCTTCAAAATACCAGCTAAAGTTTTGTATCATGACTAAAACGATGAAATATGTATTTAAAAAAAAAAACAAAAAACACTTTAAAATTCAAGTCTTCTAATGGTGCAAATCGCGCGAACGATCGATGAAAAAAATTAAAAGCAAACGTATTTTAAGTTGCGCATATTTAAACAAAATTATCGTAATTTTCGAAAGCAAAGCAAAAACGTTAAAAATAAATAACAAAAATGACCACAACACAAACAGAAAGAGTAAATAATCAACCGCATGGGGTCGTGGCTATTCATGGCATACCACAAAACAATGTAGAATAAATAGAAAAATTAAAACATGACGCACACAGCGCCTCGCGGTCGGGCTGAGCTATAAGGGGGCAAAAGGAAACACAATCTGAAAACACCGCACAGTCATAAATAAATACTTCTTACCCTCATAGAACTACATACATACATATGTATGAATAAGTTAGTATCAAATATAAATTGTTAACCACTAAGAGGATTATAAAAAGCGAATGTGTTCAGGCAGCTACCGTAGCCGGGTGGTTAGAGATGCGTACTAGCACTCGGTAGAACGCAAATTCGATTCCTAACCCGAGCAGGAGGAAAATTGTCTACTAGCAAACCATCGGGTTAGTACCTATCTCATATAAATAAGTTGTGTTTAATGAAGCCGAAAGAAAAGTGCAGATCAGCTCAAGTTAGTGCAGAATCGAGCGGATGGTCAAAAAAACAATAGAGGCAGTTAGAGCAACTTAGTTCACAAATCTCATGAAACACTTTTCAGGCAGAAATTCTCAAAACGGTTGCTTGCTCTATGCTGCTCTAGTTCCACTTAGCGCAGGCTCATGAAACAAAAACTAGAGTAGGTTAGAGCAAGAAAAATCCTCATGAAACACAATCTTTTGAGATATCTTAACCTGACGTAACCTAGAGCAGCTCATTAAACACAACTAATAATTCATTCGATAATCGGGAGTTGATCCTCCCGATATGGTGTGATAACTTACATGCTTATTATCTATCTCGAACGATAGGCCGCAATAACGATTCGTCTGCAGAGGACTGCTTATAAAATTAGTCCAACGGCATTATTCTAGTCGGTTTAAACATAATCAAGACGATTGCAACCTAATCAACGTAAAGCAATACGAAGGTTCAAATAAGGGGAACACATGAAATAATTGCAAAAATGATTGAAAACAAATGCGTAATTTTGCTCACTAAAACTTCAAGGTTGTCCGGTGTATACCACTTTAGGTTCTGGTCAAAATTCTCCAACTATAACTATCCTGGCATTAAAAGTTAAATTCTGAGTGCGACGAAGTCTAATCCTTTGGGTATCCTCCATCGGTATACATCCACATTTTATTGCATTTCGGACCATTCTCTATTCGTCTATTAACCCTTACCGTCGGCTTCAAATGGTATCTTCCCTATGATCTTGAGCCAAACGCATTGTGTCTTGTGCTACTTTGTATTCACCCATCAGATGATTGTAAATAAATCTCTAATCGCTATTCGCGACAAGCAAGCCCATCCGTCACATGAGATTACCAAAATGCTATCATCAGGGGGCTTTCGGCAAATGCCACAGCCACCTGTTGAATCTTTCAGCAAAAATAAAACAAACAAAAAAAAAACAGTCAACACGCAATGAAGCATACTTTGGTGAGACTTTCATACATGCCACACCCACTTGCAAATTTTATTGCCCACTTGCATATCTCATGCCAACCAACCCAGTAAAAATGTCCACCACCACAACCAGCCTGCCACTTATCGCAGCGACGCCTGCAACCGAGCACACAAAACGCCAAAAAACACTCAGCAGCAATGGCGAATTCCGCCCCCCGTCAGCCGTATTCTAAACCAACCATAAAAAACTATAAATGACAAGTCGATTAGAAAATTTTCAAGCAATCTCAGGGAAAAAGTAAGCCAGCGGCAGAGTACAATCGCTAATAAAATGAAAAAACAAAAAATGGGTATCGAGTTAAAGGAAAATTAAGAACTCCAGCCAGTCAAGCTACTAGCAACGAACTCGATGAACGAACGAAGTGAAAGGAACGTCGTGTAGGAACATTCAAAAGGCTGACAACTCGAAATAAATTACGAGAAACAGCATTGGCAAGCGAATACTTCAAAACGAAAGATATAGCAAAGCAGAATAAGTGAAACGAATGTAAAATTCTAGAAATGTTCAAAATGTATTATCTGGCCACCTTCTGTGCCCTCGCTGATCCCCTGCTGCATGCATTCATAAGAGAACATATGTATGTATGTACATGCACTGGGTGTATATGCATGTGAGTGTATATGTAAGTTGTATGGGTTGGCAAACTGCGAGATACGAGTATACTTTTAGTATCTGAAGAAATGAAATTAAATAAAATAAACCAAATGTTTTACGACGGCCTGGCAAGGGACGGGTACAAAGAAAGGACGGACGAAAATAACACCAAGGAGCGAGCAAGCGAAGCAACTCAAGACTCAACTGTTGGCAGTTAAAAGTGGTGGAAGTAATGCTGGTGTTCTGTGGTGTGGTGTGGTTGTTTGACGTTACTAGGAGGGCGAGCATTCTAAATGTGCGATTACTTATGGTGCTGAAGAAAAAGAGCCACAATGAAAACAACAATCTCGAATAGCCCCATAGTCGTCGTCGTCGTCGACGACGTGGTTGCCGCCGTTGACGATGACAAAGGCGTGTAGATAAGAAACAGAAGCGAACACAAAGCACACAGAGCACACAATCGTTGTGTACCTTCATGCATGTTGACTAAACGTAGAGCGCTGGCTGGCTCATGGTTCTTGGCTCTGGGCTGTGTCGTGGCACAGCACGGCACGAAACACGACGCAATCAAGGGAGCATAATAAAAATGCGGAGGCAAGACAGTGGTAGGTATTGCATTTAAGTGTAGTGTGTGAAGTTGTGCGGCTTCAAAGCGATTTGACAGCGACGAACGACAGAACAAACAAACGGGCGGCCGGATGGCCGGTCGGACGTGACCGACTGTCGCGGTAGAAGCTTTGAACGACGACATCGAAAACACAAACACCGGGGTTTGCTGGGTTGAGTTGCTCGGAAAGAAGCATTAAGTGAACAAACAGAATCGAAGTGACAGACTAGCAAAACAAAGGAGCGGATGGGCGGCGAACAATTTGCCACATAGACGGCTGCACAGTCCGACCGACGAAGAGAAGACACAACCAACAAGCAATAACGACGGTGTGCTGTTTGGCTAGCACCAAAGCAAAGTATGTAGAGTCTCAACAAATATGTTGAGTCTCAGCCAGGGAAGCCAACTCGTGGGGAATAATCTTTCTAAAAAATCTAATTAAAAAGCTCGCAATTTTAACGAAAGTTTTTTGAATTTCTTTTTAATATTGCACACAGTTTGAAACTTGGATTTATACGGGTTTTGTTAAAGAATGAACTAAAAAAAAAAATCGAATTAAATTAAAAAAAAAAAAATTGTGAAAACTTGTCAAGATACATACAATTTCATTTTTTTTTTTTTTGAATAAGGAGATCTCTATGGGTGGGGAATTTCACGAACTTTAGAGCAAAATCGGAGAATTTCTTTGTCGAAATCGGGCAATTCTAAAAAATGAGTTGGCTACCCTGGTCTCAACTTTGATATACAAGCAACCAACTCTAACCAAGAACAAGCTGACTCCACAATAGCGCAAGCACAGAACATCGAACGAACAATGAAAGACACACACAAGGGAATGGTGCAGATGGGTTGGGTTGTTGGTGAGTTAGCTGGTGACTGTTTCGACAGCAACGATTCAACCAACAGCCACTTTAACGAAAAAAATTAAATAAATTAAAACACAAACAAAAAATCCAAAGACAAGCAAACTTACGAAACAGAGTCATCGACGAACTAGAAGACGGCTACAACGACGACGGCTATACCCAGGGAACGACGATGACTTAGCAACTACATTCAACCCAACACACAATACGAAGTCAAAGTCAGCAAAGCGGATTCGAAATTGTATTGAAAAATATCAAAAAAAAAAACATACACACTACATACTTGGAAATATTGCTGAGCAAAGAGGAGCGTAAAGCAAAAAAAAAAAACGCTGTAGAAGCAAGCCAACGAATGAACAAACGAACCAAATAGAACCAGTGAGCACAGCACACACAAACAAAACACCAGTAACGAGTAAAATAATAATACGACTTATAAGAAAGAAAAACACATTTTTTAAGCGATAGCAAACTCAGCAACAGAAACAGAAATCCAGCGCGAAAACAACGGCCATAATAAAAACAAAAACAAGACTTAAATATGTACAATAAAAATGATTTTTTTTTTTTTTTCTAGACAAAACGCAGAGCTCAAAAGAGTTCTCAGTATAAGCGAGCGTATGACGGTGAATTAATGCGCTTGAAAATGGGGCGAGCAGCAGAGAACAAAAAAAAAAAAAAAAAAATAAAATAAGAAAAGAACAAAGTGACGGACTGGAGTACTGTGTGGGTNAGACTTAAATATGTACAATAAAAATGATTTTTTTTTTTTAAGACAAAACGCAGAGCTCAAAAGAGTTCTCAGTATAAGCGGGCGTATGACGGTGAATTAATGCGCTTGAAAATGGGGCGAGCAGCAGAGAACAAAAAAAAAAAAATAAAATAAAATAAGAAAAGAACAAAGTGACTATTTGGAGTACTGTGTGGGTTGTGAGACTTTGCAAATTTATGGAAGGGAAGCACCCTAGTGCCATGGACGTGGCTGGCTAAAACTTATGTAGGAATTGCAGCAACAAGAAAAGTTACTGTTTTCAGCAGCTGAAACTTACAAATATCTTCAGAAGGCTAGGCTAGAAGATAGACGCGGGGCGGGTGTACAATGCACATTGCTTTAGTTATTACTTAGTAGAGCGGCTGCGGGAGAAAAGGATTCCATGCATAAGCAGTGAAAGGGGGGCTGCTACTATTATCTTGAAAGCAGATCAGAANGTTACTTAGTAGTGCGGCTGCGGGAGAAAAGGATTCCATGCATATAAGCAGTGAAAGGGGGGCTGCTACTATTATCTTGAAAGCAGATCAGAAAGTAGCAAAGGGAGGACTGAAGCGAACTGATGTATGAGCACCACAAAGGTATATTAGTTGTTGTTATTGCGCTTATGAAGTTTTATTACGTTGGAGGTCGAAGTGTCGAGTTGAGTCGGGTCGGTTGGTCAGTCATTCAGTCAGTGAGGCTAAGTTGGTGGAAGAAACTCTTTCACAATGCATGCGCTTAATACCGCAGACGCTAAAGATAAACCCAAATGAGGGACACAGAACAGCACTCCAACAGTCATAGACTAGACGCTGTGGGGTCGGCCAGTGGGGTGTGCTTAGCTATCTTTTGTGTTTGTTATTGAAAGAAATTGCACTGCGTGCAGAGGAACTTTATGCGCGTAATTGAGAATGCTTTAAGTGAGTAAGTCCATATCTACCAAAGTAAGTTTGCGGGAGACGGTTGTGGCCGCCGTTGATTGTGATGATGAGCTGACTGTGGCAATTTTACAATCATATTTCTTCGTTATCGTTGAGTGTGCGGGCATAGTAGAGTTCATTGGATGGTGCAGAAGCAAGGAAGTATGTATATGTGTACGAATATACGCATTTCGTGTTATTAATTTTGAAATTGATAAATAATGAACCGAGAAAACAAGATTGCCTTTCATTGATTACGATGCATAGGTACCACAGACGAGTCGAAGAAGTGCGCATTGGGGTCATGGGTGGAAGAATTTCTTTTATTATGACTGGAATTACTGAAAATCCATAAGTGGCAAGTGAATGGATAAGTGAAAGGTCTTTTCCATATTTTGCTCTTATTACTTCAAGATAGTTAGAAATCACACAATATGAGTTTAAATACTGTCAGTTGAATCTCTTGTCGTTCTCCCACATAGATGGAAAAATAATAGCATAAGAATACAGAAATAAAATTGTTGTTAGTAAACCTAGCCATCTGGTCTTTTGGAAATGAAGGACTCTCGACAGTCCTAATCTGCGACAGTGTGAACCTAATATTTTAGGCATCACTCCCGAACTCTTCACAACTAGAATAATAATAAAAAGGGAGGTTCCTATTAAAGATCGATGAAATGAAATTTCCGATGGTAAATCACGCAAAATAACGAAAAATATTTTCCGCAGTAAGTGGTNTAAAGGCCTTTTCCATATTTTACTCTAATTACTTCAAAATAGTTAGAAATCACACAATATGAGTTTAAATACTGTCAGTTGAATATCTTGCCGTTCTCCCACATAGATGGAAAAATAATAGCATAAGAATACAGAAATAAAATTGTTGTTAGTAAACCTAGCCATCTGGTCTTTTGGACGTGAAGGACATGAAGGACTCTCGACAGTCCTAACCTGCGACAGTGTGAACCTAATATTTTAGGCATCACTACCGAACTCTTCACAACTAGAATAATAATAAAAAGGGAGGTTCCTATTAAAGATCGATGAAATGAAATTAACGATGGTAAATCACGCAAAATAACGAAAAATATTTTCCGCAGTAAGTGGTATAAGTTACATCTCCCCTCCAAATCAGCATCATAGCCCTTTGGTTTTGGAGTTTGAATTTTACCAATATTTTGAATTACCGACAGCTAATCAGACGGTTGCTTTTAACACTACTACTAAGCATCATAGCCCTTTGGTTTTGGAGTTTGAATTTTACCAATATTTTGAATTACCGACAGCTAGTCAGACGGTTGCTTTTAACACTACTCTTATTGTAATTTTGCTGAATTGAATAATTTGTTTGATTTGGATTGGTCCCAGCTCTTTGGAAATGTGGACTTTTTGATATTTGTGTGGGTCACATCCCAATTCTTAATTCGAAAACCGCTAAGCGTCCATGGTTTACTAAAGAACTCAAACGTATAAGGAATATGAAGAATTAGTTCTACAAAAGACAACAGCATTCCAACGATGTTAATTTGCGTAAGCGTTACGTGTTTTATAGAGCTGAATTTAACAGCCTCAATAAATCTTTGTATAGGAATTATATTCGCGGCGTAGAAAGCAATATTAAATCTAATCCAAAATTCTTCTGGAGTTATATTAAATCAAAGAAAAATTGCTCTAATATACCTGCATCGGTCCAGCTTAACGGGGTGTCAGCTAACTCCATCTCCGAAGCTGTTAATCTTTTTGCTGATTTTTTTTTTCTTCCAATTTTATTTCAGGTAATTCTGATAATGATTTTATTCCTGAAGATCTTTTGTCATTGTACTGTTGGTGTGCGCGTAATCGTTTGTCCCTCAATATTGGTAAATGTCATTATACCTCTTTTGCAAAAGTGATTAGTATTGCTCCAACCTCTTACTGTTTTTCGAATGTCCCGCTAAAATCAATTACTGATTTTAAAGACTTGGGTGTTTATTTTGACTCCAAGCTCACCTTCACCACCCACATAAACTTTATTGTTTCTAAATCATTCGCGATGTTGGCCTTTATTCGTCTTCCAATCCTTATACTCTCAAACTGTTGTAGTCGTCTTTAGTTCGGTCGAGGTTAGAATACGCGGTATTTGTTTGGAGACCTTTTCATACAGTTCATGTGAACAGATTGGAGTCTGTTCAGAGGGCTTTTATACGCTTTGCTTTGCGTCCGTTGAAATTTGTAGACCCTATTCCGTCCTATCGTTCTCGTTGTTTGTTGATAAATCTCATGTCCTTAGAGTCCAGACGTTACTCTGTTATCGATGTGCTTTGTCTTTGATATAATTGCAGGCTCTATAGATTGCTCGCACCTCCTTATGAAAATTCGTTTTAATGTTCCCTCACGTATTCTTCGTTGTAGTGAATTGTTTTTTGTGGGTGTTGTTAAAACTGTTTATGGTATGAATGCTCCTTTAAGGAGGACTTTCTCCCAATTTGATGCTTATTCTTCATCTTTAGACTTCGATTTTTCTTACTCAAAGTTTACCTTTAAGAATTTACTCATAAGGCACTTGTCATAAGGGTTTCCCTTATTCTATGTATATATTTGTTATATAGTCTGTAAGCGTCCTGTTTGTTGATAGTAATAATAATAAATAATAATAAAATACCCAAACCCAGATTCATATCTGGCCAAGGACTGTCATTTCAGCAGTATTCCCCAAAAACTCTTTGGAGAATTTATATGCTGTTACAACAACAAACAAACACATAAATCAAATAAAATAAGAAGAGCAATAGTTGTTTTGGGTGAAAGATAAAAACAATCTGCTTGTCGCATAGTTTTCTTTGAGTACTTTTGCTAAAAACGCTTTCTTTTTTTTGTCAGTTAGTTATAGAAGTCCCTTATCGATTGGTGGTTATATTACGAGATACGTATCTACTTAAGTACCTACGTGTGTTTATACATACGTAGAACATTCATTCACCATAACTACAGTACCTACTAAAATTAATTTCCCATTTGAGTGCCTACAACAAATCTCAGCACATTCACCTTTATCAAATTAATCAATTATTAATTGCTTCATTAACAATTCAACGCCATGGAATTATTTAAGAAAGCAAAAGAAGAAGCAACAAAAACACATTATGATAAGATTATGGTACCTTCACTTGTCAACAAAGATAACCAAAATGAAATTAACCAAAAACAACAAAGCAAAACCTGCAGAATCAGCTGTCGCACAAATGGTGCACCACTTCAGCTGTTTCCTCCCGGCAAAGCACAACTCGAACAGTCAATTCAACACCAACCTCTATGTATGTTTCGTGGCGCAAGCACACCCCCATACATCCACATACATGTCTGTATGTCGAAGTGCTTGCTAGCTGTTGCAATGTTAAAAAAAAAAAAGTTTGCGCGCCAAAAGTTTAAATGTAAAGTCATCCATACACACACAAACGTATGTACGCCTGCACAAAAGTGCTCGACACTCACCACACACCTACCACCGTATATATGTTTGTGTATTTATTTACTTCTTTCACTACTTATGCGCACAGTTATCATATCTCTGCACTCTGCAGACTCTTGAGAAAAGAGCAGCAGCAAGCACAGCACAATCGAGCCCAAGTGCCCCAAGAAAGACAAAAAGTAATAAAAAAAATTAAATGCAATAAAAAGAAAAAAAGGCCCCAACTGAAGTCAGGTTAAAGACAGCCACCCCAACAAAGCATGAAAATGTATATGTACGAGCGAGCGTCGCGACTGACTTTGATTTGGAACAACTTAGGCAGCAGCAGCACAGCACTCGATTCGTTGCTCGATACTTTGAAGCGTGCAGAAGAAACGCAGGAGGGCAAGCAGCGCAGAGAGACAAGCAAAAGG